CATAGGAAACAGGAGACTTTCAGAAGATTGAAAATCCTGAACTTCAGGAATAATCCTGAAAACTTTCACCCATGCAGATTAGATAATTTCTATCGATACATGTTCTACATAACAGATTACCGGCCACAGATAGCCTAATTAATTCGGCGTGAACGGTTTGACCCATTTTACCGACTTTTTTTTTCTTACTGTCAAACCGTTACGCCTAATTTTAACTGTCATTTTTACTCACGGAAAATCCACCGGCAACACTATCGATAGTTTGGACTGATTTTTACTGCTTAAACCTGAAAGTAACTCCAATGTCCTCTAAAGATCAATAGAATATAAGTTCTAGTACTAACTTCTCCTAGAAAAAAAATAGATTGTACCTGTCTTAACGCATACATGCGATTTATTTCAAATTTGTACTATCTACTCTATCTTCGACGGACATGTTATGACGTCAGCGTAAAAAATCGATTCCGTGAAAGCTGGTAGTAGCTACCAGTGTGTCTAGCAGGTAAGTGTGGGTTACGCATGAAGATTAAATTTAAAAAGAAATATCGGGGGAAATAAATCTATTCTATATCTTTTAATAAATGTGTGCATTATTAAATACTATTGAAAAGTATCAATGTAGATCTATTTAACCTAAAATGCAATGGTAACAAATAGGCTCCGTACAAGTACTGTTGTTTAATAATTTTTAAATATTTTAATACATGTACTCAACATTTATCAATAGGTGGTTTGCCTTCTTGTTTACTGCTAATGACTGCCAAATGTCACTCTCGGATAAAATACTGACTTCATTTATACATGCATATTTATATGACAATTAAAAACGAAAAAGAAATATTGAAGGAAACTATTTGAAATACACTTCAAATTGTTCAGTATTTGTACAAATAATATTTCTAGAGTTCTTTTTCACCGATTGCCGATATATAATACCATATTAAACCTACTGATGAAGTTAAATGTCTTCTTGACATACTAAATCGATTTACTAAAAAGGAACTTTATTGTGATCCAGCCATATGCTGTGTAACTATAAGGGAAGGGTCACATATTTTAATTGAAATAAATTTTAAGTAGAGGATATTAAAAAAAAGTCATTGAGAAGATCAGAATTTTCAAATGAACAGATTAAGAGACTTATACATGTATAAGGTGTATGTCTTGTTGTTTCATACTGTTTTGGTGACACTTTTGTTTGTGTCCCTTGTTGTTTTCTCGTCTATGGTAAGTATCTTCCCTTTGCCCCTAGTTTTATTTCTTTATTTCGCCCCCTCCCCCTTCCCCGAATTTCCTATCCCCTTCCCCTGTGCCCGTTAACTTAGTGGTCCTATTAATCATTCATTTATTTATTTTCTTTGATTTCCTTCTCAGTTACATTTTAGTGATAAGCCTGACCGTGCTCTCCCTTGCGCCCTGTCCCGTTTTCGTTTAGGATCCTCCTGGGCTCCTTGCCAATGGTTCATGTTCCTGGGTGGTGTGGGGGTTGCTTTCATTGAAGCCGCCTTTCCTTGTTCATCTTGTTTATCATATTGTATACATGTAGACCGAACCGTAACAAACAGATAATGATTATCAATACAAGGTTCGGCAAGCAAGCAAAGAAATGTAAAGAAAACAGAAAAATCTTATCCACATATCCACCCTCAAAAAAAACCCACCAAAAAACGCCTGAAACTGCAAAATCGAAACATAAATACACATGAGTGCCAATGACGGCTCTGGTAGGTGCAAGTGCTCCCTTCCGCCGGTTTCAACAGAATTGATCACTTAAACATAATATTAATAATGTTGAAATTTTTAATCAACACCCACAGATGTGTACAAAATACGGCGGTAATCATGGAACTTTCAATGTGACACATTCGAGGTGCCGTTCAATGAAAAGGGGGAACTAGATAACATGAAATTTTAAATGGGTTTAAGAGGTTTTGGTGTCCTTTTGCGACAGTCGTTCTAACATTTCTCCCATCTGTCTTACATTGTTATGCTATTCTACGTCTAAATAACGGTCACTATATTTCCGCTTGCTGCGTTTTTATCATAAACCCAGTCATATCTGTGCGACAATTGCATTTTACTGAGGACTGTCTGAAATTCCATTTTATAGTTTGAAATTTTACGATTTTTTTTTTCAGAATTTTAAAGTTATTTTTGGTTGTTTTGAACTTCTTCTCTTAAATTCTTTTAAACATAATAAACTAGAAATTGATATGGAGTGTAATATAAACTGAAATTTTTCTTTGCTATAATCATAATTCATTATATAAGATGTACCTACAATTACATTGTATTTTCGTATGTGGGAAATCATGGCAGGGTTATAAAATAAATAGGCAGTTCAAAAATTTCACTTAATGATCACAGATGTTAAAAAATCCAACTTTATAATATCTAATTTGACAATTTAAACAGACTTAAATGCAGTATGATCTGACGTCGGACATCATAAACTATTTAATTTCTAAGTAAGGTTATCAGAATTTCCTTTTCACATTTTATTTTTAATGCTGAAATATTTGTGTGTGAATAAAAGTTATTCCTGCAATAATTCATATAAATAACTTAAACAAATTGTATAATAAAGCTTGACAAATACAATCAATTGCAGCCGATAGTTACACCATGGAAATTTTACAATTTTACCCTGTCACCGCTTGCGTCATTTTCCAATATGGCTGCTTTCAATAATTTTCAACGATTTAAAAAGTTAAAGTGGAATATTTAGACTTGTGTTCGACTTTGAAGTATGATAACTAACCTTGCATAAAAAACGGTTCTCTTTCAGGAAATGTAGACCGTTTCTTTGAACAGGCTGGGGAATATTGCCGATCGAGCTATATAGCTCGTTTGAGCTATAATAGCCCGTTCGGGCTATAAAAAGAACAAAAGAAAGCGTCAAATGTCCTTTGAAAAAAACGACTATCCGAAAGCGCATATCCGAAGTATACCTAAACTACTCCATGTTCCCTGACACTTCGAAACGTGACATTGGTAAACACAAGCAGCCTCTGACATGCTGCGCCCACACATATAATGTTGGGAGAATATGTAAATTTATCTTAAATAGTCACCTGCATCTAAATAACTCTTATTTCTTCGTTTCGTACTTTTCCCAACACTGCAAATGTACCGGAAGTAATGAAAATACACGAACGAACACGCAAATGTTGTCATCTTCGTCAGCATCTGAAGCTGTCTAAAAATAGTAACAAATGGTAAAGGGTAGCCCAAAAATATTCTATTCCTTCAATTCTTTCAAATATCCGTTTGTTTACTTTTTTGGTGTTTTTCGGCCACTGAATGAAAAAAATTCGTTTTAACTCAATCATTGTTTTAATGTAGAGGTCAAAGTTGAAGTCCGTGATTTACTATATACAGGTCAATACAAGGTTATAAGGAGGGAATGTTATTTTTGTATACAGTGTATTCATTTTTCAACTGTTAAGATGCCTTCATGCGGATGCAGAGAACATGATGTCATTTGTGATGATGGTGAGTCGGGGCCCATCTTTAAACTAAGCAATAAAAAAATAAAAAAGGATACCATTCACATTTTAAGACAGAAAGAACTTATCAGTAAATATTGTAACTTTGTTTGTGAAAAATGTGTAAAATGGGTCGAAAATGATAATAGGGGTGTTAAACGCATTCGAAATACATGTGAGGCATCTGATGTCATTAAACAAATAAGTGAAGGTGGTTTTAGTGAAGAAGAGCTAAAGGATATTGTTGGTGCAATCGGCAGTTTTGTATCCGATTCTATTTATGAAGATAGTGTAAACGTTAGTGAAAGTTATATAAACCCAGAATTCCTAACATCTTTAAATTTGGAAGCCTGGTTGAAAAACCGTAATTGTATATTAACATCATTCTTATTAAATTGCTCCAAATCCACTTATACTGATAGAAAGAAAGTAGTATGTATAGCCAGTGGCGTTGAAAGTGTGTATAAAGCGAGAAATCAGAAATCAGTCACGCCGTTTGCTTTTGCAAATAACTTAGTGGCCTATTATATAAGCCACAGTAAAACTGTTGTTTCGTTTAATAATACTCACAAGCCTGCTGGGAGCTACAGGTCATTACAATCATGGCTAAAACGAATAGCCACAACACCCTTGTCTCGTGAAAATGAAATGTTGAAAAAAGATTCAATTGTCTTTTTTGATAATAATCAAATTTTAGCACGAAACTGGAGAGTTAATTATAACTACAAAAGCAAAGCAAGTGTTGTAACCACCACAAGCAATATAACATTTCAATCACAGCTGCAATACAATAATTTGTACTCTCCCAGCAACTGGCTGTATAACCCCAACATTCCTATTCGTGAGATATTAAGCTCATTCCTACAAGAAAATGAGAAATCATACACAAAAATTAGAAATGTATTCCTCCAATCAAAAATCGAAAAGATTATAGAGGAATCAACTTTTATAAATGGCATTTTCAAGGACAGAATTAGCAGATTGATAGAAGGTAACGTATTTGTTTATATCATCTATAAAATTTAATTTGATAACTTCCCATTGCAACTAATTGTAATAATACCTTTCATAAAAAGTAATTGCTACATATATTAAAGGCACATTATACCTTGGTAATATGAAATATGTAAGAGGATACCTGAAGAAAAAATCTTAAAAAATGAAGTTAAATCGTTCATTACACGTAATGGGTCTTTAAATTTAATTATAAATGGTTGCTTATGTAATATAATAATAATAATGCACTGTTGTAAAGTATCGCTTCATTGGTCAATTCTGACTTTAAAAAAATATTATTGTCATACATCAAAATATGAAAAGTATATTGGAAAACATTTAAACCTATTTCATTATATGATATTGTATCAACGGCTATATATATTGTTTTCAATATCAATGTCCTAAATCGTTAAAATGGTTATATACACGATTATCTGAAATTGAAATAATATGTTTTCCATGTGAGAAGTGTAAGTGTGCATTCGAAAGAAAATGAAAAGGTTGTAAGGTTATATAAATATTCTCGCCTATCGAATGAGGTGATATAATCTGAGAGCCTTTGACATGGGCTCATAAAACCTTATAAGAGAAAATTTATTAAAAAATTAATTTATAGCATGATCAGAATTTTAATATCTATGCTTTAACGTTAAATATCATTTTGTTTTAGATAAATATTTCATTTTTTTAAATAGGAGAACCTGTCTGTTCTCTTAATGACCAAAGTAAAGTACCTTACGATTGGGTACCAAATCAACACCTGGAACCTCAGCCGGATATTTCAATTGGTGAAATTTTGATGGATAATCCATGTTCGTATGAATCAGTTAAAAGAGTTATCAAAGTAAGTTACATGTTAAAAAAAATAAAATTAAACGTTGTTTTTTATTATTAGTGTAACCAATGGGTGAAAATATTAGCGTAATATGCAATTAAAATTTTATTATATACAACATTAATTTCTACGCTATAAAATGATTATTTATGCATATATCTCTTAAAACTTATAAATAAAGTTCATTCATAACAATGCTGAAAACTAATTTTCAACACTTTAATTTAAGGAAATACGAAAAACTAGCGGAGTGACAGAAGATAACTTAAAAACATGGTGTATTATGGGATGCGACGGCCTTCCCTATACGCTAGGATCGAGACTAATTGAAAAAAATAAAGATATGCAAAATATCTTACTTATTCCCGGTAATATTATATTCAATTTTTGTCATATATAAATAATTTTAATTGTTTTGTATATTCTTACATGATAATGAATGAATATATCAATATATCAGTCAGGCTGTTTCTGATTTTATTTGATGATTTTTTGCAAAATGTTTAAGTGACTTTAAAAATTTTCAAATATTAAATTAATAAATCACCGCTAATCACAACTGAAAAAGATGTTAATAAAAATATCATTATAGCATCAAAATATTTTAAATTTGCAATGCAGTGTTTGGATTCAGTGAATTATTCAAGGTTAGAAAATTGTTAGAAATGTCGATATGAAAATAAAAAAAAATATGATTGCAACATGTATTCTAAAATTGGTATTTTTTATCTGAAGGACACGGGCACATAGAGATGAATGTGGTAAAAGCTGCTTTTAAGTTACTGTGGGAGCCCATTCTACAGGACTTAAGTAAGGAATGTGGTTTCAAGTCACCAAGGGCACAAGTTGCGGCACAATCGTGTACTGATCACCACAAATCATACATGCTTTTGGAAATAATGTTTGAAAGTGCTTTGCAGGAGATCATGACAACTTTTATCATAAATAGTGTGCAGAATTCAATAACACCTAACATAGCCACTTTTTTTGATTATATAAAATCTTCAAAAGACAAAAATTATAGATTTATGTGTGACGCAATAATAAACTTTATTTTTCCAATATTTCTATATAGAGCCGGTGTTAGGAGAAACAATTTCGGATATATATCTGCAGCTAAAGCTAAATTTTTTAAACTATTTTTTTCTGGTGGAATGAAAAATTATCAGCAACTTATTATGAAAGATATTAAAACATACATCCTAGCACCTCCAGAAGTGAAGCATTTCTTACAGAAAACACAATTGTTTACTGGTAAATCTACTGTGTTCCCTTAGGGCTACTGCGACACACACATAAATAATAAAATATGCAGTACGCTGTCCAATTGTTTTCCATGTATTCGTTCTTTGGAGTTTTGTGTGTTCGCGCGCGAATGTGTTAGTTGCGATTGCCCTAATGGTACACCATAAGAGTCATATATGATATATGATATATATATTTTTTAATATTATTTTTTTATTGCTATTTCAATATTGATTTAAATGCATTATCAATAGTTACCAAAAATCGTTATAATTTTGTTTACAGAAAAGTATCTGTATTTAATACAACACTATATGTTTATTATTTAAAGTTATGAGAATGAAAACATTATTTATCATTATTTAAAAAATATATTTATGTTCAGTCAGTGGACACCCTTCAAAAGGAGAAGGTGGAGATTTCATTCTTGAAGCGATTAATAAGAAAATCCAAAGATGGTTGCCCCCGGGGATACCGCTTGAAAAACATTGGCGACAGGTGTGTCGAACAGCACATATACTTGATAAGGTTTGTTTATAAGCATAAAAATACAGTAAACCCTTTGCAGACCTGCCATATATACAGTGATCACCTCTTTCTAAAAACACGTTTTGTTCAAGAAAAAATTAAATTGACTGTTCATAAGTGTTTGTCTGCGCAATTGAAATATTCGATTCCAACAATTTAAATCACCGTACTACATTTACATGCATTATAATAAATATTTTGGACTTAATTTCTTTATTTCTTTGTAATTCATACTCCAAAAGTTATTGTCATTTATCCTTCATTTTAATAAAAAAAGAATGAATTATATTATAAAATGATGTTTTAGATTCGTGAAAATACTTTACAACAGTGTACAATAACCGAGGACAGATCGTCATATGTTTATAAAAGAGATATATCAAATGAAATAGAGAAATACCGGATGAGACTGAGGAAAATAGGATATCTTAACAACAAACAGACGTTATCAAGGTATTTGAAAGCATTGCTTCATTTCTTACGGCTGTCACCGATAAATTTCTAGCCAAAATAAAATGGATGAATATTTTCATGGACTTATGTAAAACAAATTCAGGTATTGTATGTTATTTAAATCAAAAATAATATTAAGAATTTTGTTAATATACATTATGTTTCCTGATTTCCTGTGAAAATTAATCACTACTTGATAATATACTTTTATTACCAAATTTGTTTAAGTTTATTACATAATAAATAGTTTATTTACTGTGAATTTTAGCCGACATACATCTGTTAATGGCGAAATTTTGGACCACGAGCTTTATTTGTTTGAAAATCAAATAAATGTCAATATAGAAGCTTTCCTGAATTGTCCTGAAAATCCGCAAATTACACCAGTTTTCACCACGGAGTTGCAGAGAACAACATTTCATTCCATTGAACGTAAAACAAAGGTATGTGTAATAGAAAGTATATTTAATTGTTGTTTCCTTCTATTATTGAAATTCAAATTATGGAATTCCTATGCAACACAGATATGTTTAAAAATAATAGAGATATAAACTATGAAATTATTTCATATTAAAGAAGCAGTTGAATGACATCATCGAGAGAGATCTCAAGGAAATTGAAGAAAACGGCAACATGGAAGACGCATATGTTTTTAAAAATAAGTGGATTAAAGTTAAAAGTAAGTAATTTAAGTTAAGAGTTTCAAAGATAAATCACATTTAATACAAACGTAATTAAAATGAATTTCATAATAATTTATTAATGCATTAAACATTTACATATTAAATTTTCTTAAATGATTTTATATGTTGAGGACAATAAAATTTCACTTTATCTAAGTCACTTTCTTTTTTGACAACAAACCCGGTACAAATGGAATGGCACCAGTAAGTACACGATTCAAACTCGCAGTTTACCCAGATGTCTTTCTTCCCCTTTCTCATATTTTCTTTTCCACAGACTTTACAATTCTCCTCTTCTGCCTGATAATATATTGATGAAAACTGTTTATCACACATCAATTATTTTATATATATTTAAAATTTACATCGACATCATATCACTATAATAGATAATAAATAATTATTTTTAACCAATCATAATTATATAAAATGTTATAAATAGTTTTGGTTATACAGAAAATTGCATTGTGAACTAAATTTCTAAATGTACATGTACAACTTATAAAATATGTATATATTATACAAGAATATTTGATTAAAAACCAAAAAGTCCTTACACTAGCATCATCATCTTTGCTGGTGTTAGATTGTGGTGGGTCAGGATACACCAAAAAATCAATATCTGCATGAGATGTTGAAGGAGTATTCACATCCTTGGATACATCTGTGTTGTCTAAAGGGAAAGAAATTTTATAAATATTAATCATATTACTTTTGAGATTATGTTTATTTTTAATTTGAATATGAGTATTATGTAATTATGAAATATAAAAATACTATGTTAAAAATATATTTATGTTTATGCTCCTCCTCCTCATCAACATCATTGAATATCAGTTTTTGAATAATTAGTTATAATTACCAATACTATCCTCCCAGTTGTCAGTTGTCAAACACCCTTGCCGTCCCGACTCTGTTTTGTATGTTAGCTGCATTTGAGTGTTTGTTAATTTGGACAATTGTTTAATCTTAAAATAAACAAAGATAATCGTTTAAAAGAAACATTCATTTTAGGTCGGCCAAAACAAGAAATGCTTCAATTTTATAAAGAATTGGTTGCTTCTATAGAAAGTTCAAAGGCAGATTCAAATTACATTTCCGATGGTATAAAACTTTTGTTATAATTTTTCTTTATAATTTTAAGGCATAATATATGTTGTTAAAGCCTTTTCTAATTATGTATTGTAATACAACAAATGTAGTAAGAAAACAGAATAATCTTGTTAACAATAATTTTGTTTACCTTTTGTTGAATTGTTTTTAACCTTTTGCTCAATGTATTCGATCTTGCACTGCCATCCTCCAGATAATTTTTTGTCACTATTTTACCTGTATGATGGTGTTTGGCGCGACAATCCTGCCCCACCTTATTTTTTCCTGGGTTGAACGTTTTTCCCTTAAAATTGTAAACAAAGTTTGTAAATGATAAACGTATTTTTTTACAGGTAAATTAATACTCTACACACATGATTTACATAAAAAACAAAACAATACTGTTGTGTTTGTTTGAATCAAAATGCTATTGTTTTATGAAAAAGCAATTCTATATAATGTAAAATAAATGAAGCAAATACAAAGAATTAAATATTTCAGATGACAGTAGTGAGGACGATAATTCTTAACGATGTAACCAAAGGAAGAAGGTATAACATATTTCACAACCTACCATTATGGACACCTCGTATATAAGCTGCACGAAATTCACGTGTAGTAGTAGTCAATATTTAAGATACCGAATTGCTATTTGGCGAAAAAATGTGTAACAAGTATCCTCAGAAATAATGAATTTAAAATTTGGAAATTATTTTGGACACACACTGTACGTTTGTTACTATTTTTAGACGGCTTCAGATGCTGATTATGATTACAACAATATTTTGAAAAAATAATTCGTTCGGTCTTTTTTATTCACTTCCGGGACGGCTCCAGTGAAATTTCAAGTTACGAAACGAAGAAATAAGAGTTATTTAGATGCAGGTGACTATTTAATAAGATAAATTTACATATTCTCCCAACATTATATGTGTGGGCGCAGCATGTCGGAGGCTGCTAGTGTTTACCAATGTCACGTTTCGAAGTGTCAGGGAACATGGAGTAGTTTAGGTATACTTCGGATATGCGCTTTCGGATAGTCGTTTTTTTTCAAAGGACATTTGACACTTTCTTTTGTTCTTTTTATAGCCCGAACGGGCTATTATAGCTTTTGTTCTTTTATAGGAAGTGTCCGTGCATAAAACTGCAGTTCGTGGTTGGACTTGGAAAAAGACAGCGCCCGTCCAAAATTATCTCGGTGTCTCTTTGACAAGTCTAATTAGTTGGACTAGGCCACAGATTACTGCAAAAGTTGTGCTCCATTTAAATAATTCAAAGAACAAACCTAAATATTTCAGCACCCCAACATTCATTTGCTCGAAAAGAGTTTTAGTTTTCGATTCTTCCTCCATCTCGGAATCCTTTACTTGCACAAAAAAATCAAATTAAAAGCCTTATTTACATTTTGGAAAAATGTTCGATCGCGTCGTTAGTTATAGTTATCATCTCCTTTGAGAAGAGCTCAATTTGAGAATACCGAAACCCAAATTAATTCACGAAAAGGTCATCTTGTCAAAAATGTATTTCAAGAAAATTTTGTTGGTGCAATACCTTAAATGATTTTTAAAAGCAAAACAAAGTTTAATAGTATGTTGTTTCTTGTTGTTTTTTTCTCCAATAATTACGAAAAAACCGTTACTCTGAAAATGTGGGCCGTTGACGTCTTTTATATTGGTCAGGTCAGGTACGTATATTAACGGTATCCGCAACAAGGTTTTAGACCGAGATTGCTGTCGTGTCGGTCGTGCGCATGCGCACATGCTACCAAAAAATTTAATCGATGGCGGACGGAGCAAATTTTGTTGATGAAAAATCTGTAAATTAAGTGTTAATTTACGAGCATCGGCACAAAAAACTCAAGAAATAATGACAGGTAAGTCTTATGTTTTTGTTATGTACGTGTATTTTTACTAGATTACGCTTCCAAATGGCGTAAATCGGGTGTGGAAATTTCCAGTCTGTATGAATGAGATCGACAAAATGGCGGATCTTTGTTAAAAACGGGTGAACATGTATAAAATCTGCAGAGTTATCAGGCTTAACCTACTAGTAGAAAACTGATTAAACTTGCACAAATCGGTTTAGAATATATTAAAGTAAGTAATGTTGGTACTTTTAAGGCTCCCTCATCATCTGATCTGTTGTTTTTGTGGCGTGAAATTTGAAGGAAATTTGTAAATTTTTGCGGTGCAAAAATAAATTCACGACCTATTTTGGCCCAAACATCAGAGGTATCTAAAGACCTTGAAAATACAAATGAAAGCTTTAAAGTTAGTTACAACATTATTGTGAATGGGGTGTGTTATTATTTATAATTTTCAACTGAATATTTTTGATGCTATGGTCTTTTGAAAATTGATGAAATTTCCCCCATTTTTTTTTTCATTTACTCAGAAGTTATATTCAACTTCTTTTTTGTTAGTTATTCCAGGTACGTATATTAACATTAGTACATGGTTATTCTGTTGATAAAACAAAATATTTATATTAAATGTCATTTCATCTATTTCAGATCGTAACAAATGTGTTTCAAGTGGTAGATCAGCACGACAATTTCACTGAATGCTGATACAGCCCAAAAGTTCAAAGATTTGCAGCTTGTGCCAGGAGAGTCCCAGAAGTGTCAAATAAATTTCGGGAATAAAGTGACACTAAATGAAAACACTATAAACAGTCATTTTATAGCCAGTGCGATGCTATTGAAGTTTTATGTAAATCCAGTTATAAAATAAAAGGCAAAACTTATATAAATGTGTTTTCCTTTTTATTTCTTTTTTTTTACTACCAGGTACCTGATACGAATTAGTAACGATTCGCCACACTAACGATTCGCCACATAACGATTCGCCACAGAGTAATAACGATTCGCCACAGTTAAATAACGATTCGCCACAGTATGATTATAGATCTAACAATGATTTTTTTAGTTATCAACAAACTTTTTCCTTTTGTTTTAATAATTTGACAATGACAATAATTTAATAATGTTTCTTAATACAAGCACGGATTTATATTACATGTAATATAAATCCGTGATACAAGTAACATGAACTTAAAGCCCCCATCGCGGATTTTCAATTTATTAAAGTAACATTATTACAGGAGTACATTTACAAGAAAATAATTATATGTTGAATAATCATAAACATAATTGTCAATTAATATAAGAAGAAGAGAAGAAATAGCAAATAAAGGAACAAAGAACGTAACAATATCATTATCATTCATTTATATATATGTAAAATATTTAAAAAAAGATATTGCAAAAACATGTGATCATTACGAAAATTGATTTACGATAATTGATGTAATTTTGGTAATAAAATATCTGGTTTTCGTGTGTTTTTTATTCAATAAAAGCTTTATTCAGTGTAATCTATTTATGTTATTAACAAATGAAATATAAATTATAAAAAAGTTTTCCAAACAGGTGTGAACAAGTTTGTATTTGAACACGTGGCGAATCGTTTTTTAACTGTGGCGAATCGTTATTACTCTGTGGCGAATCGTTAGTGTGGCGAATCGTTACATTACCCCTGATACTACTATTTCCAATACCTTTATGTCTATTCTCTCGAAAAAATGTACGTTCATTCAAGAGAACCTGAAAGATACTGACATATGTAGTGGTGAAACAGTTTGCTCAATATAATTGTATAAAAGCAACACAGAAAATATGTTAAATAAATAAAAACAATTAACTGGATATAGTAATAATCTAGCCTTACCCACTAAAAAACAGTTTCAAACAGGACCGACTGATAGAAAAAGTGTGAAAACTATCACAATTGAACAATTAAATAGATGCACATTAATAACCGTGATTAAATCAATTACTGAATCTGCAGAAAACATCAATTATGACGGTACAATGTACTTATTTTTCACAATACTTTCATAACAAAAAATGTTTAGGCCGTTTTTCAGAAAAATATACGTACCTGAGAAAACGAACATTTTTATAAGAGCTCTTTCTGGTGCAGTTTGAAAATTATATAATCATACTTTTATTCAATTTTAAAAATAGATAGATAGATAACTTCATTCTTTAAACAATGTTCAAATAAAAAAATATTAAGGGCTTAATAAGTTAAATATATGGTAAAAGTTGCGTTCGAAATATGCAAGATGATTTTGGTCATGTGATTCTTCACGATATCTTATTCGCATTTATTTAAGATACACAATAGAAATTGAAAAACAAAAAAATTAAAACTACAGTTTATAAGCTTTTTATAAATAATTTTTCACAAATTTCGGCAAAAAAATGACGAAACAATAATAACTTGTTACTACATGTATATAAAATTTCTTTCGTGTGCAGTCGCGATTTGGCTGGTAGTAAAAGTTGCGTTTTTTACTCGTTACAATTCCGGAAATAATTTAGCTTTGTAAATGATAATTACACGGTTAAAAAGATCAAATTCTCAGCTTTCTTTTGATAGGTATTTTGCTAAATTCGGACCATAAATTACGAAAAAATCTTATATTTGTTCGAAGAGGGCATCATTATTTTTACTGAAGTTTTGACATAATCGGGAGACAAAAAAAACAAACTCTGTGTTTAACTCGTCGTAATTTTCTTCATACTAAACGCTCTGATTTATAAAATATATATTTGAAAAAATCTATCTTTCAGCTTTCTAGAATATGTTACTTTTAAAAAATTGAACAGAAAATAACATGTTGACGGTAATTTAAATAACCAAGGTAAAATATCACACCGCTTAATGATATGTAATCGTCGATAAAAATCAATAACGATCGGCAGTCTGGATGGATTATCTACCACGACAGCATAATTTACCGTTATTGATTTACTGTATAGAGTTGCGGATACCGTTAATATACGTACCTGGTCAGGTATATATGGGTTATGAGGTACTAAATACGGAATTACAGACAGGGCGGACCGTGAGACAAGGCGGACCATATCAGGGCGGACCATATGTTTGGACCGGGCGGACCGTATTTTGGGACAGGGTGGACCGTGACTCGAGACGAGGCGGACCGCGCTTTAATGAAATAAAAATAATTAAATATTGATGTTTCTTTGCTTTTGTGTGTGTAATTATCCGTCGGAATGTATCTGTTAAACTTTCAATTTATAAAAAGAGTGGGACAGTCTTTATATATTTAGAATTTAAAGGTGACCACCAAAGGAACATTCCTGTGAAGTTTGGATGAAATTGACTAAGCAGTTTATGAGGAGTTGTCTTTTAAAGTAAAAGTTTACAGACGGACGCCGGACAAAAAGCGATCACAATAGCTCACCACGTCACTGTGATAGGTGAGCTGAAAAGGTTGTGTCACATCAATGCCATAAGGCTGCCAAGAATAATTTTATAACGCACTTTCAGGTTTTATTTGGCATGCTTATTAAATCTGTCTTTCTTATGAAGTTCAATAAATGGAATATAATATTATGTCTCTAAATTTTGTTTACTGAAATTTTCAGCATGATCGTATCAAAGTAGACGCAAATATGAGACCATTTTCACATGCACACTTATTAGTGCTGCAAATAGGGTATAATGACAACGAAGTGATTTATGTCAGCCAAAAGCAAGTTTTATATACTAGGTCTCTAGTTTGGTATCCGGAATGGATATTCATTTGGCTCAGTAATCCATGATGGCGTCCAAGATGGCCGCCAAACCCGTTGAAAATTATGAAAATTGATTTTGCGTAAAATCTTTCCTTTATTGGAGAGGAAAACCTTGATATTTGCTTATAATAATTCAAAAATTGGCAAAATAATGCTTCAAATATGGGTTCTTGTTATGATAATATCATTTA